ATCTCCGACCTGTATCCCCATGTGATGTCTGTGTTGTGTGTGTAAGGTTGGGGGGGGAGTCCCTATTTCACTGCAGGGCAACCTGCACGTGGTGAATAAAGCCTTGATTGATTGATTGATTGATTGATTGATTGACTGTACACACTGCACAACAAATAAGAGATCAGAAGCTTAGTGTCAAAAGGGCCCAATATGTGACTGTGGAGACAGCAGAGCAATTTTCAAACTTTATTTACAAGTTTAAGCAAAGGAATAAACTTGGCGAGGGATTCGGGGCTTGTTGTTTGAACACGACTCGTGGTGTATTTGAAAGAGGAATATGACTCATGTTGCAGGCAGAGTTGGCGACACTTTGAGGAGCAGCTGAAGGTCCGGGTGAGCTGAAGAGAGCGATGCTGGGCTGGCCCGAGTTAAAAGGGATCCAGTGCAAAGCGGTGGCAAGAGGGCAGCCAGGTGCCATACTGAAATCCTTCCCAGGAGTCAGAGCGTGAAACAGGTGCTGTGACCAGAGAGCTGTAGCACAAGAAAAACAAGGTGGGTACATAGACTAGAAGTAATATACTGTAATATACTCACATATCTATATTATTATATTATTTATATTATTGCTAATATATATTGTAATATATCTATATCACTAAAGCACTTCTGGATGGATGCAAACTGCATTTCGTTGCCCTGTACCTGTGCATGTGCAATGACAATAAAGTTGAATTCTATTCTATTCTATTCTATTCTATTCTATTCTAATACACACAAACATCCTGAGACTCAGACTGAAAACCCCACAAAAGAGGGGGGATAGGGTTGGGGTGGGTTTCTGCTCTATGGCAGGGATGTCAAACTCCAGTCCTCGAGGGACGGTGTCCTGAAACTTTTAAATGTCTCTGCTGCAACACACCTGAAGAACATTAGTAGGTCATTAGCAAGACTCTATAGAACTTATATGTGTTGGGTATATGATGACATGTGCAAATCCTTTAAATGAGTTTTTCAAGACACTGACAAATGAAGTATTTATTGCTGAAAAACAGTCATATCTTTGACCTGCAGATAGTCTGTAATATTAGATCAGGTTTCTTTGTGACTAATGATAGCAACATGGCTAAATGAAACTGAGAATAACCCACTAAGTAAATGCTGAAATAAGGATGGATGATCTTCACTAGACACTCAAATGGAAAAGTTTTGGATTTCAGTTTGAACCCCCCCAACTTTATTCTTGACTCAAATAAGTTGAGTTCATTTGGAAGAACTGAATAGGATTCATTGAGAGTACTTTCATTCTCCTTAAAGTGAACAACAGTCTGAAAGGGACTTTCTGCCATGTTTTACAGGCAGTCGTGCTTCTGAAGACTAGTTTTTGTTCACTTTGTTGTGAATATTTACATAAAACCATCCAAGTGTCTGTATCCAGCACCGTCTGTGCAAAACTCCTTCGATGTCAGAGGTTCAAACATGAAAAACAAACTGTTTTCTCTGTCATTGTTGTTTTTTCTTTTAACTCCACAGTCAGTGAGTTCTGCAGCTCAATGACAGCATGGCAGCAGCATCTGGTGAGTCTTACTTTGTCACACTTACATGCAGTAACTGTGAGTTACCTCCCTCTACAAGCACTTTCTGACAATAATTTAATTGTTTCTTGGTTTCTCCTTGTTGGAGAAATGTGAAAAAAATGAAGAAAAAGTGATTATTGGAGGATAATCGATGTGACTACAGGTGAATATTTTACAGCAGGTCTCATCTGAGTGTCTTTGCTGAACCAGGCTGCTGTGTTGCATGTAGCATACTTTAACAATGTGTTTAACCAATAACATTTGACAGAATGTGTTTTCTGAAAATTAAAAGTCACATTTAATAATCTTTCCCAGAACTAATGTGATCTGTTCATGCAGTCAGCCGTTGACATTTAAAGTGCTTTGTTCCATCTGACGTAGTCATTGCAGGATAACAAATTATGTCTCAATGCATAAACTACTACTAATAATAATGAAAGGAGAGTTATGTATTTCTTTATCTTTGCAGGACCACAAGACACTTTTCCCAGACGTCGCAGGAAGAGCTTTGATTTTGTGCCACCCAGCAGTGAGTTTTTAAAGAAAAGATGTTTAATGCAAACTTTAACTGGGCAATTTAAGGTGGAAGACATTAGACAGGAGCAGGTGAAGACAAAATATAGCAGGAAGCGTGAAGCCTGTTTGGAATAATGAAAACCTCTTAGTGCACAGATCCTGCTTTCTCTCTTTACATTTAGAGCTCATATAATGTATAGAAAAGTGAAATAAACTATTTTATGTAAACTTTTGGGGGTCATTTCTGGGAGAGGTTACAGCAAATGTCTCCTTAACTTCATGTTAACAGATCAAACATTCAGGAAATCAGTGTTTGTGTAGCTCTATGCCACAGACATGAAGTTGCTGCAATTTATTGAAACTGTGATGTATCCTGTGGTAATGATGCTCAAAAGAGATTATAGAAATAAAATTGTGCCAAACAAGAAAAAAAATTGGTCTTCAGATTCTGTGGATTTAAAACTGAGCTTTTAACAGAGGTCAACTCTCAAACTTTATGTAATATTCTCACATGTGAATATATATTTATGGCTCAGTAATGGTTCATAAATACGAGAAAAAAATAACACATATTTAAACAAAATGACAATTTTTGCACATTTTTCAATAATTACAACTCAGTGGTTACAAATGGAAAATGATTAAAATTAGATTAATTGAAACCTATGATATAATGCTGTTGCTGCTTGTATTAACTTTGAAAGATTCTTTGTTCAGTGTTTGTGTTTGCTGTCGTTTCAGTGTCTGAGCTCAGAGCTGTCCTGCTGGGGAACAGCTGGTCTGAGAGGAGCTCAGTGGGAAACTTTATTCTGAGAGAGAACAAGTTCAACCCTGAGGAAGAACTGGACCGATGTGTGAGAGTCAGTGGACACAGTCAAGGGAAAGAAATATTTCTCATCAACACTCCAAATCTGCTTCATCCAAACATCTCAGTGGAGAAATTAAAGGAACATGTGAACAACTGTGTGAGGCTCTCTGATCCTGGACCTCATGTGTTCCTGCTGGTTCTACACCCTGAAGACTTCACTGAGCATCAAAAAACGAGACTCTGCAGAGTCCTGAACTTCTTCAGTGATCATTCCTTTGATCATTCACTGGTTCTGATATCACCACCCAGAGAGAGGCGTCTGGGTTTATGGCATAGTGTCATGTATCATACACCTATACAGGAAATGATCAGACGATGTAATAACAGGTCACTGCAGCTTGAAAACCTCAACATTCGGGAGTTACTAGAAAACATGGAACGCATTGTAGAAATGAACAATGGAACACATGTGA